TATGGTGCATTATAAAAATCCCCTTAATCTTAGATTTATAAACCCTTGATATTAATTTGCAAAAAAACACTTTTGAAGAATTTTCCTTTCAGAATTGCATCCTTAACTCCTACTACTTACACATGATCCCTTACTAAGTTTTTGGTTATTGTATGTTTTATCTCTATACTTGTACTTTTGGCCCTATGCATTAGTCCTAGCTTTAATGGGGACTATTTAAAACCTATCTAAACTTTTCTCACTCATAAATTCTTTATTGACATCCTTACCACCTAACCCTTTATCATTTGATGAAGTTTTAAGCTTCTTAGATTGTGCCACAACCTCATAAACAAATAAAGTATGTACATCCCTTCTTTATGCTTTCCATAGCCTTCTTCATCTCTAAAAACCTCTCTCATATATCTTTATTGTTGATGGCAACACTTATTTTTAATTGTTTGGGAGCCCTTTTTCTCTTCTTGAGATGAGAATTTGCCTTCTCCTTGATCACTTGATCAACCTGGATAAAAAAGAAACTTGGAGAAAGAAAATCAATAAAATGAATTTACACACTTCACTAAATCCATGAGCAATCCACTAACTAATCAATCTACTTGTTTTTTGCCTATCCTCACAACCTCATCCATGATCTGGTTCGTTGGGATTCTCCCGCTGCTGCTGTTATTGCTGCCGCTCTTGCTACTCCTCCTCTTATTGCTCTTGCCTTTACTTGACTCGGAATATTTCCATAAGTAGTATACCTCAACAGACTTGCTCACAATACAACTAATAGCCTTGTAAAAATGATTCATCTTTCTCTTCTTGTAAACACGATTTCTCTCTTATCTAGAAAACTTAAAAGAGAATGAATGAGCGGGAATTTAAATGAAGTGGGAGTCTAGTAATGACAAACAATTCAAATTTGTTCCATATTCATAGGTAATAATCACTTGCATCTTTATTAATATCTCTCATAAGAATGTGAACTTAAGGGATTTTTTGATTCATAAGAGTGGAAAATTTTGATTATTTACCAAAGATTGGTAAGAAAAGCTTTGATATGGCTTGCAAATGCTGTAAAATCTAATGTCCATGATAATAAACCTAAAATTAGAATATAATCTGATCATTCTTAATTTGGCATTGAACACAAAGAATATGTATATAACCTTATATTCAAGAATATTTTAGTCAAATAGTCAGTAAAAGGTAATAAATAAAATGGTGTTTCAAGGATTGCTATGGGTATTAATTATTTGAATGATGTTTTGTCGAAAGGGAATATAGAAGAGTTTAATCAAATTGTGCTTTCTAGAGTTAACAGATTTGCCAACTATCCTCCAGTGCCAAGGCATATGCAAATTTTGGAAGCAGACTATCAATCTTGCATTGATGTACTCTGACCCCACAAGAGGAGCCATGGGTGTTGATCCACAAGAACAAACGACCACAAGTTTGTAGTGTGGTGCCCCATCTCTGGCCGATGCTTCGACTTCCCAAGCTTTGGATGCATCCCAGCAGCAGCCAGCACATGCACCGCCAGGTTTGTGGCCTCGTCCACAGGGCTTGTTCTCAGCCTTGTCGACCACGGGCGGAAGATGGTGGCGTGGAGTCCTTTGTCCGGCGCCGTGGAGGAGCTGAATCCCAGCACGACTGAAGGCTTCGAGTCGAAGACGATCACACGACAGCAGGCTTTCTCGGATGAATTCCTGGTGATCCACGACTCGGTCGCTGGCTGCTGCAGCGTCTTCAATCCCCCAACAAGGTTTCTGGCCCAGAGATCCAGAATTGTGGTGGCGGACGAGGGGGTGACGAGCGCGACACATATCGGGACTAGCAATGGGCGGCGGATTGGAGTGTGTATCAATCACCGGGAGATTGTTGTGCAGGAGTACAAGGAGAAGACGACATTGCGGAGGAGGTGAGGCAGTGGCAAGAGTCGGAGATGAAAGAGGCCGCGAAGCTAGAGAGAATGGATAAGAAGCTATGGGAGATAGTGGCACGAATGAGCGACGAGGAAGTAGAGGAAGCCAGGAAACGAATGGAAGTGCGGGAGCGTGAGGAGATGAATAATTGCGAGGAAGACGAGGAGGAGGAGGAGGAAGCGTACAAGATCGAGGAATTGGGAAAGCTGGAGTTTGCAAAGGATCTCAAGGAGCATCCCTGTACGATACATGTTGCAAGCTTGGAGAATTTGATCTTGATCTCTAGAGGGGCGCTGAGTAGTAGCACTGCTCTAGTGTTTAACCTGGAGGATTTGACACGTGAGCTCAATTTTGAGCTCGCGAGCTCAAAACACTGGAGCCTGCGTTCATATCTAGCTATGTAATGGAAGTGCTGACGCTAAGGTCCAAGTTCAGTCTTTCAGCGAGAGGGAGGTTTGAAGCTCATATGTCCAGCTCTAAACGCGTTCTCTACTTTGTCACTCGAGCCTTGGAGCGGTGGAAACGCCGCGGCTGCCGGGGGAGCAAAGTTTGATATGCTGCTTGCGTTTGGATTCGTAGAAGACATCTACAAGATGAAAGAAAGGAGACACTGCTGTGACAGCCGCGAGATAATAAGAAGTTTGTACCTGTGGATTCATTTGGAACGAACTTGGATTCGCAAAGCCGGTGGCGGATGGCGCTCCCCGGGGATCAAACTCGTCAAAACCATCGTCCACTGGAATGGAAGATCGCATGGCTTCCTCGTAACTTGGTGGAGGTCCTCGGCTGCTGGCAAAGTTTTCAGGAGATCCTCCCTGTGTTGAAGTAGAACTCGATGATTGTTGAGACCACTCTTGTTGCTGCATTGGCTTTTGCCAATCGTCGTCTTCTAATCGACCGGAAGGTTTCTCCGCGGCTGGATTTGATCCAACGCCTTGGTACCTGAAATGACAAGTCTAGTGTAGCCGAAAGTATAAAAGGAGGAGAAAGAACTTACTTGTTCTTGTTGGCCGCGGCTTTTTTACGAACATCGTTTATCCTCTGCCTGTCATTTAGCAACGCAACCATGGTTTCTGCCTTTTTTCTCACATTGATCCCCTGATCTTTCCCACTTGGCTGCTCAACGTATTGGAATTCCGTAAGTGGCTGCTCTGGAATAAAAAACGAGGATGATTAATCAGAAACTGGGAGAAAGAGAAACATGGAGTCATAAATTTCCTTGCCATAAGCTGAGACAAGAAGCTGATAACACTCTCGACTGCTTGCGGTGATCCGTTTGCGACCAGAAACTCCATAACCGTCATGCTCTGGAATATCACAAAGTTTTAGCCGTCATGGAGCCGTGGAAAAAACCGAAACAAAGAAAAACAAAGAAACTCAACCTTGTAGACATGCCTCCAGTTTTTCCCTGTGTCGAGAAGGCGCTTTTGAAGAACTCCCATTATAAGTTGTAGCTCATTCCTGGAGGAGAAAGTAAACGAGCACACTCCTTAAGAAAGAAAGGAGAAAGAATGGAAGCTCTTCTTACGGGTCAACAGTGGCATCAGCTATTTCAGTCATGAGAGATCCATGCGGTCCCCAAGGCTCATTGCTCGTAGCTTCTTGGACCTCCAATCGAGCAATCTCTTCAGAAAATCGCTGCCAAACGGAGAAAAATCCCTACCTTGATCTCGATCTCGGGCAGCATAAACTTGTTCACCTCTCTCTTCCTGCGTAGCGGAGCTCCATCAAGGAGGAGAAAAATCGCGTAAAAGAATGCTTACAGCTCGCGCACCGTCTGACCGAACGCCTTCTTGAACGCCATCGCGGCGATCGAATGGAACCCTAGGCGCTCTCTCCCGTCGCACGTCTTTCCCCCAAGGCCACAAGAAGCAAAAATAGAATTTCAAAGCAACGTGACCGTTCAACAAGCCCTAGAAAAGCAAACGTGGAATCTCACGGGTATATTCTCCCATCCATCACCGCAAAGCTCTCGTGGCCTAACGGACAAGGCATTTGACTTCTAATCAAAGGATTGTGGGTTCGAATCCCACCGGGAGTGAGTGGCCTGGCCTTCCAATGAAATAAAGAATCTATTTGGTTGTTCTTCGTCTCTTTTATTTACTCTTGCAGCACTCTTGGATGTTGGAACACGACTTTGATCGCCCCAGCGTATTGGGCGCGGCCTTCCATTTCCCAGCTTTGTCCCTCCTCGCTCGTGATGCCTCCGCCTCAGCATAAGACTCTGCAAGAAAATCCATCGATCATGAGCAAACAAATGAAAAATTCCTCCACGAGTTCCCCAAGAACAGAGCATCCCAAAGAACCCAAGACATTTCGATCGAGAAGAAGCCTACCAGTGAAATCATCCACGCCAGGATCCGTGACGAACGTCTTGGTCCTTCCATGCCAAGGCCCGGGCTCCGTCTGATTCGCTGGGTGCGATGGAATGGGCAGCCGGAGCATATGCGTCACGTCCGATCCACACACCGGGTGATAGAAATTGTCGTCGGGATTGACCCGCTTGATCTTGGGCTGGATCCAATCCGTGACATTGCTGGTCCGGAGGCCATAGTATGGATCGGGGGCGTCCTTGAGCTTGGGATCGTAGGCGTGGCTGGGCGTGGGGAGATGGACGTAGCTGGTTACCTCGGTGGTGGAGATCCCATGGAACTGGTTCTCGTGCCGCCGATCCACCTTGGGCTCCACTTGCTTCATCCGCGGCTTCTGGTGCGAGTAGTCTGTCACGGCGGATTTCTGGCGGCACACATTGCCGCTGCTGTCGCCCATTGCTATCAATTGATCGCGCGCGCGCTCCGCGCCGCTCGCCCGATCGATCGATCCTTGGCTGGATTCACGGACTCGCTCGATTCCTGTTCTTTCTCATCGCTTTGCCCTAAACCGGTGCCGCCCGGCGCATCGCCGCCTTCCACCAGTCTGTTCTGTGAACTAAATTTTGAAATCGAAAGGGCGCCGCCATCGTGGCCCTACAAGTGGACGGTGGCCGCTGGCCTCGAATGAAAACCCGCCACGTGTCATAGAGGAATGACACCCTGGTCGAAGCATATTTTGTCGAATATACGCTAGGTTTAGGGTTTCTAGCAGCCGGCACCAGAAAGAACAGCAGCGGAGATCCAAGATGGTGGTCGCCGGGAAGAAGCAGAAGAAGACCCAGGAGAGCATCAACAACAGATTGGCGCTGGTGATGAAGAGCGGCAAGTACACGCTGGGGTACAAGACGGTGCTCAAATCGCTGCGGAGTGGAAAAGGTGTGTGAAATCCCTCTTTGTTTCTCTTGCGATTGATCCAGTGGCGCATTGGGTGCGCAGGGAAGCTTGTGCTCATCTCCAACAATTGCCCGCCCCTTCGCAAATCGGAGATCGAGTACTACGCGATGCTCTCCAAGACGAACGTCCACCACTACAGCGGAAGTAAGTTTTCTCGAAGAAAAAGAGGATTTTTCTCTTCCCTCTCGTTCTAGCTCCAATGCTCGAAACTTTCTAACATTGATCTTCCATTCCTTGCAGACAATGTGGAGCTTGGCACCGCTTGCGGGAAATACTACCGGGTTTCGTGCCTCACCATCACAGACCCAGGTGAGAATCCTTGGATTGATTTGGAGTTCTTTTCCATCGATTTTCACGGCAATTCTCTTGTCAGGCGATTCGGACATCATCAAATCTATGTCTGCCGAGTGAAAGGAAAATCTATCAATCAGCGCAACTCCATTTTGATCCTTGTAGCCCCTCTTACTCTCGAGAAACATGGAAATCTAATGGGAATTTTCGTCAAATGTGGCCAATAACTTTAAAGAACCCTAAAACTAAAGTTAGCGAAGAGCCCTAAAATCAAGAACCCTAATTTCTCCCTTCTAGGTTTAGGGTTGAGGGCTTAGCGAGAATGTTGTGGGTGGACAAGTACCGCCCCCACACTCTGGACGAGGCGATCGTCCACCAAGAGCAAGCGCAGCGCCTCAAGAGCCTGGTAAAGATCTTCGCGTTGCATTGGCGTTTCCTTTTGGAGTGATTCAATCAATGTGTAGATAGCCGAAGGAGATTGCCCGCATTTGCTCTTCTATGGGCCCTCTGGCGCTGGAAAGAAGACACTTATCATGGCTTTCTTGCGAGAGCTCTTTGGAGCTGGGGCTCAGCAGGTCTTAGAAAAAAAAAAATTTCTCGCTTCTTCTTCATTTGGTCTATGTTTCCGCAGGTTCAAGTTGAGAACAAGGCCTGGAAAGTCGAGGTGATTCTTTCTCTTTTACTTCTTGGTTTTTGGTTCTTTTAGTTCTTGGTTCACTAATGTGGAGGGACGTAGGCCGGAACGAGGAAAATCGACGTTGAGCTTACCACAGTGGCGAGCAACTATCACGTCGAGCTTAATCCCAGCGATGCGGGATTTCAAGATCGGTATGTGGTTCAAGAGATCATCAAGGAGATGGCCATGAGCAGGCCTCTTGATCTGGGTGTTGACATAAGTTTCAAAGGTAAAAAAGCTTGGTTTTGTTACTGCCAGTTTCACTTGCTTGTTGTGGAACAGTTCTCGTCCTTAACGAAGTGGATCGCCTCTCGAAGGAGGCGCAGCATTCACTCAGGCGAACGATGGAGAAGTATAGCGCCGCCTGCCGATTGATCCTTTGCTGCACAAGTGCTTCGAAAGTTATCGAGGCTGTTCGATCGCGATGCCTCAACGTGCGGATCAATGCTCCATCTGAAGATGAAGTGAGTTCTTCGCGCGCTTGTATTTCGAGTGTTTTTTATTCTTCCTCCTCTCGCAGATCACTAAAGTGCTCCAGTTCGTCGCTAAAAAGGAAGAGATACGTCTTCCACCGGCTTTTGCTGGTCGAATTGCGTTACATTCGAACAGGAACCTACGGCGAGCCATACTTTCATTGGAGGCCTGCAAAGTCCAACAGTAAGTTCTCGAAACATTTCAATCAATCCCTCTCTTTAAAAATTCTTTTTCTACTATCCAGGTATCCGTTCACAGAGAATCAACCTGTTCAGACCACTGATTGGGAGCAATATATTGTAGAGATCGCATCGGACATAGTCAATGAACAGAGCCCGAAGAGGTTTATTTTCTCTTTCTTTCTTGCTCTTGATAAATTCTCCATGCTTGCAGATTGTTCATCGTGCGTGGAAAGCTATACGAGCTGCTTGTGAATTGTATCCCTCCTGAAATAGTTTTAAAGGTCAGTCGTGACTCCAGCTTGTAGCAGCACAATGAAGACAAAGTCTTTTGGCTAACTCACATTTCTTATTCCAGAGGCTACTTGTTGAGCTAATGAAGAAACTAGATTCGGAGCTAAAGCACGAGGTGTGTCACTGGGCAGCCTATCACGTAAGTAATTTCAAGCGCTTCTTGCTTTTGTTCCGTGCTGAAAGTATGAACACAGGAACATCGTATGCAACTTGGACAGAAGGCTATTTTTCATCTCGAAGGTATGCAAAACGATCAAAGAAACTTCGTGACTGATCCGTGATTTCGTCCAGCCTTTGTCGCCAAGTTTATGAGCGTTTACAAGAAATTCCTGATAGCAACCTTTGGTTAGTCGCAGTAAGGCATTGTTCCATAGGAAATCGCTTCTTACACATTGATTGTGCCACTTAAAGTTCTCTTTTTAAGAAGGAAGGAACCTTTGGCTTGGCCTGAATCGCGACAACAACCTCCTCCGGCGAGTCATACTTTCATTGGAGGCTTGCAAAGCCCAACAATAAGTTCCCTTATGATTCTTTTCTATTCCTCTCACATAAAAAAACTGTTTTCCGGCTTTTCAGATCTTCCGAGAGAATCAACCTGTTCAGGCCACACTGATTTATAATACAAACCTCAAATCGCATCCGACAAGAGGTAAAGGGAAACAGGTGTGTAGCTTAAGTTCCTCTATGCATGCTTGCGGATTATTCCTTGCGTGGAAAGCTCTACGATCTCCGCGTGACTTGTAATGGTTTTTGAGGAAGAAGCTCAGTCGAGATTCCCGTTCCAATGGAGACAAAGGCTCGCAATCTCACAACTACCTCTCTCTTTTCTCGATTTTGATGTTTCCAGAGGCTACTCGTCGCGTCCAGGTGCTAGCTAAATCGTGAGCAGTCACAAACGTAAGTTACTTGAGATCCTTCTTGACTTAGCATGCTAAAGCAAAGAACTTAATTCCAGGAACATCAAGATAAGAGGCCATTAAGGTATGTGTAAGATTTTTGTCCTCCATTCTTTTCATAGTTTTTTTCCAGACTCTGCTCCGTGATTCCGTGGGGCCTTTGTATCGCCCACAAGAAATTCCTGATGCCAAACTTTGGAAAACATAAGTATAGGCTCGATTCGATCAAACAAAAAGGTCCACGCCATTGATCTCAGTGCGAGAGCGATACTTTAAAATATACGTTTTGATCGAACAGAGCTCCCTCTTATCTTAAGATCAGGGCGACCGGAATCCAAAGTATTCGCGGGGGGAATATTTCTTTTCTCTCTCCGTCCGTACTATCATGAAACCCGTGACCCACAGGGAGGTTTGAAAATTACAGGGGGTAACAGTTGACAGACAGTGTTGCCAGCGGACAATGATATTTACACAAATCATTGATAATTTTTTTTCACCTTGGGGGAAAAGAAACCGGCGGCGGTGGTACGGTATGACATGACAAGCGTTGACGTGGCCAGAAATTCGCCCGAAGAACAAACAAGGTCTACCCTGGCGTTATACTCTGAGAGGGAACAAAAGAGCAAGAAAGAAACGGCTATAGAAGAGAGGGATGAATGATCGAAGAATGCGTGTCTCTTCCGGGCAAGATTCTTGTCCATGGCGATGGCGCTCGCGCTGATTTGTTATCTTCCCTTCTTCTGGATGATTGATCGCGGCCCAGTCGCAGACGCAACGACGAGCTAGGCGGTGACGCTTCTGGATCATCGCATTCCTGTGGAAAGCGATCGGCCGATTCCATTTATTTCGAGCTCCTCCTCGGCGCAGCGCTCGGATTATCGATGTCGGCAGCGCCCCGGGCGATCATCCAGGTCTATTCTCTCGTTCTTTCCCTCTTCCTGGTAGCGGCAGTGGATGAATCCGCCGTAGCGGCTCACGGATCATCCTCCCAGACGTGGTGCAAGGCCGAGGAAGAGGCGGCGCTCTTGGATTTCCGGCGCTCTTTCGCGTCCCAGCCCGGCGAGGTCTTCGATTCTTGGATCCTCTCCAGGACGTGCTGCGCGTGGCGAGGGATCCAATGCAGCTCTACCAAGGACGACGATGATTCGCGGCGCTTCACGGCTCTCAGCGATGGCTACCGGGTTCGTGTTCTTTCCCTCCCAGGGCTCAAGCTCGCGGGCGAGATCCCGCCGTCCATCGCCAGACTCCGGGCGCTCGAGGCCGTCGATCTCTCCGCCAACCAGATCTCCGGCTCGATTCCTGCCCAGCTCGTCTCCCTCGCCCACCTCAAGCTCCTCGATCTCAGCGCCAACAATCTCTCGGGCGCTCTCCCGCCGGCCTTCCGCCAGGGATTTCCAGCGATCGTCCGCCTTAATCTCTCGGACAACCTCCTCGAGGGCCCGATCCCGCCGATGCTGTCCTCGGCATCGATCGAGTCGCTCGACCTGAGCTACAATTTCTTCGCCGGCGCGCTGCCCAGCCCGATGATCTGCGCTCCATCCCTCAACGTCTCCAACAACGAGCTCTCGGGCCCCGTCCTCGCCGCGCTCGCGCACTGCCCATCGATCCAGTCGATCAACGCCGCCGCAAACATGCTCAATCGCTCGCTGGCAGCGGCGCCCGAGGTGGATTTCTTCGCGAGCCCGGCCGCCAGGAGCATCAAGCTCCTGGATCTCTCCACCAACGCCATCCCGGGCGGCATTCCTGCGGCGATCGGCCGCCTCGCGGCGCTGGAGGAGCTCTTCCTCGGCTACAACAGCCTCGGCGGCGAGATCCCCAGCTCCATCTCCAACATCTCGGCGCTGAGGATCCTGAGCCTCCGCAACAACGATCTGGGCGGCGAGATGGCGGCGCTCGACTTCTCCCGCCTGCCAAACCTCACGGAGCTGGACCTTTCGTACAACCGCATCTCGGGGAACATTCCGTCGGGAATATCCCAGTGCCGCCACCTGACGTCGCTGACGCTGGGCAAGAACGAGCTGCGCGGGGATATTCCGTCGTCACTTGGCGCGCTTCGCAAGCTCGAGACGCTCTCTCTCTCCGGGAACGAGCTCGGCGGTGGAATCCCGGCCGAGCTCCAGGAATGCGAGGCGCTCGTCATGCTGGTGCTCTCTAAGAACAGCTTCACGGAGCCTCTGCCCGATCGGAACGTCACGGGGTTTCGCAATCTCCAGCTCCTGGCGATCGGGAATGCCGGGCTCTCGGGATCCATCCCGGCGTGGATTGGCAACTGCAGCAAGCTCCAGGTGCTGGATCTCAGCTGGAACAGGCTCGTCGGCGAGATCCCCCGGTGGATTGGAGCTCTGGATCACCTCTTCTACCTGGATCTCTCCAACAATTCCTTCACTGGGTCGATACCCCCGGACATCCTCGGCATCCGGTGCCTGATCGAGGACGAGGACGCGAGCAGCAGCGCCGCGGATGATCTCCGCCCAGTCGCCAACACGCTCTTCGTCAAGCACCGATCCAACTCGAGCGCTCTCCAGTACAACCAGGTGTCGGCGTTCCCTCCCTCGATCATCCTCGCCAGCAACAATCTCTCTGGAGTGATCCCACTGGAGTTTGGCAAGCTGAGGAAGCTGGTGTCGCTGGATCTCAGCAACAACAAGCTGGTTGGATCGATCCCGGCGTGCCTGGCCAACGCGTCGGACCTGGAATCGCTGGATCTCTCCTCGAATGGGCTCTCGGGCAGCATCCCGCCATCGCTGGTGAAGCTCACGTTCCTCGCGGCGTTCAATGTGAGCTTCAATCGGCTGTCTGGGGCGATCCCTTCCGGGAACCAGTTCGCGAGCTTCTCCAATTCCTCCTACATCGCGAATTCCAGGCTCTGTGGCGCGCCACTCTCGATCCAGTGCCCGGCGGCGGCGATGGAGGCGACCTCCAGCTCCTCGCGGGGCGGCGGCGGCGATCAAAGAGGTCCCATGAATCGCGGCGCGATAATGGGGATCACCATCAGTATCAGCCTGGGTCTCACGGCGCTGTTCGCCGCGATGCTCATGCTGTCCTTCTCGCGCGCGCGGGCGGGGCACCGGCAGGACATTGCGGGGCGGAATTTCAAGGAGATGAGCGTCGCCCAGATGATGGATCTGACGGTCACCATGTTCGGGCAGCGCTACCGTCGGATCACCGTGGGCGACCTCATCAAGGCCACAAACAACTTCGACGCGACCAACATCATCGGCTGTGGTGGCTTTGGGCTGGTCTTCAAGGCCAACCTTCCGGACGGGAATGTGGTGGCGATCAAGCGGCTCACGAGCGAGGATGGAGGGCCACAGATGGAGAAAGAATTCGACGCGGAATTGTCCACCCTGGGGAACATTACGCACCCCAACCTTGTCTCCCTGGAGGGCTACTGCCGGCTGGGAATGCGTGACCGGCTACTGGTCTATTCCTACATGGAAAACGGCAGCCTCGACTACTGGCTCCACGAGCGATCCGACGGCGGGAGCCGGCTCACGTGGCGGCATCGCCTGGCCATTCTGCGCGAAACGGCCAGGGGATTGGAGTACCTCCACCGTGGATGCAACCCACACATTGTCCACCGGGACATCAAGTCGAGCAACATACTCCTGGACGGCGATCTGCGCGCACACGTGGCGGATTTCGGGCTGGCGAGGCTCATGCTGCCGTCGGATACGCACGTGACCACGGAGCTGGTCGGGACGCTGGGGTATATACCCCCGGAATATGCGCAGTCGTCCGAGGCGTCACTGCGCGGGGACGTGTATAGCTTTGGGGTGTTGGTGCTCGAGGTGTTGAGCCGGAGGAGGCCGGTGGACGCTTGCCGGAGGGGTGGGATTCGCGATCTTGTGCCGTGGGTGGAAGGGATGCAAGCTACCGGGAGGGGGATCGAGATTGTGGATCCACTGCTGCTCCAGAATTACTCCGAGGTGGATGCCTTGGAGGAGATGCTGCGGGTGTTGGATGTGGCTTGCTACTGCGTGGATTCTTGCCCCCAGAGGAGGCCTGGGATTGAGGAGGTTGTGGCATGGTTGGATGCCGTGGGATCGAGCAGGCTCAAGGTGGGATTGGGCAAACCTTAGAGCGGGTTTCTTTGCTTTCGTGACTACAAATGCCCATGTCCGGTGTGTGACTATGATTCTTACAGCAAATGCCCAGGCAGGGCATTACAGGGAATATAAAGAATACTGGCGCAAGAACTGCGTGACTACTCAAGCAATGGCGGATTTGCAGCTCTAAACTTTTGATGGGACGTGACACTCACCAAGTTAAGCTGAGAAAGTTTGAGCAAATAGCGAGCGACTTGTTCTTTGATATGGCTGGAAGAAATAAACTGCGAGTATACTGGCGTATGTTGCACAAAACATTTATCCAAGAATCATCACTTGATGCATTGTGTGGTGGTTGTCGAGCAGCAGTGATAATGCTTAGCACAATGTTGGCTACGGGGATGTTCTAAAGTGGAAAGCAAACATAGCCTTGGAGAGTGGCCTTGAGATTGTGGCGAGATCCAGGATAGGACTCGGGAGTGATCTTTCGGGAACTTGGAAGGGATATTTTGTACCTTGAAATTTGAAATATAAGAGCACTCTTGTGTTGTGTCTGCTACAGGAAAACTAAAGTTGTGTTAATCGACCTTAAAGTTAGTGATCCTGTCCAAATGCTTCACACCGCAGTGCAAAAAAACATGGATTGTAAGCTCACATCTGCAAAACAATCGCGAAGTCGGATATGGAAAGCTGGACGCCTATAGACAGCATGATTCTGCCAAGTGCCGGAGCATAGTGATCTTTTCTGGCCCTGAAAGTTCATCAAAGTTTATATCCAATCTCAAATATTCTTTTTGATCCAACCAGTTCTTAAGGAACTGCATTCTTATGTCAAACCTGACTGGCAAAGGATGTGCGTACTCAATACTGAAGACTAGCTAGACCAAGAGTGATAGGGTTTTCAATTTGCAACCATTGCATTGTAGTCTTATGCCTCTAGTTGGGCGCTACAAGACAACATGTCTTATTATTAAGAGACGCTGGATAGAAACTTTATGATTTTGTAAGTAAAAGATTCAAAGAAGAAAGGAAATAGAAGTTGCAAAAAGTGAGGACAAACATAATATACAATCTGGTGTTTCTTTTGGTATTTAAAGTCCCTCCCATGTCATGTCAAAAAGAAAGCACTTGATTGAAACAAAATAGTGATTGCATCAAACGGCAAATCTTGCCAGGCTGGTTGAGCAAGATTTTATAAACATCCATGTTTTGTTTGCAACTTATTAATTAAAACGTGGTAAGTTTTTCTATACCTTGCCTTTTTCATATAAGGCATGGCCACTGTTCCACTTGTGCTTCAAATGAGATCTTATTCTATCTATAATTGAGTCCAAGCTTGTGAGGGATTAATGTAAAGCACGAGGCATTCCTGGCTGATCCATCATCTATTATTTCTAGAATTGGTGTCAATGCCGCTGGTTGAATCTTGCCCTGCAATTGGCGTGGAATTTGACCTCATCCCAAACAGTGTCACCACTGATCTATCTGTGCGTGCAAGGAACGTTAATCCTGCTCGATCCAAGGAGCTGCTCATCGATTCCAAGGTCCTTAAACTCTTTTCTTTGCTGCTAGTGTTTCAAGACCATAGTAACCCAATTAATGCCAATTTCAAGCACAAGAACTACACGTTGCCTTAAACTAAGGACTATGGTGAATGGAGTTGACTATAGACAAAAAGATTGGCAGTAAAAAACGATTCCTCTCTTCCTAATTCTAAGGCAAGAGGATTACGGCATGTAAAAAAGTGGTATATGGCACAACAAACCGGGCGACAAGGCTTTACTATCACGTAAAAGGTGAAGTCAAAAAGAAGAAGAATCTGGGACCACGCACTCACGTGGACGTGCGCCAGTCGCCAGATCCCCGCGAATCGGGCGGCTCACGGGACGCTTGCGCTGCATGGCCACCTTACCAAGGCCAGGTCACCTCCCATGCACACGTCCGACACAGCGCGAGTAGAAAAGTATATGGAATTTGCGTCAAAGCTGGCGGGAATTTCTCGAGCGCCAAAACCGTGACGTGCACATGAAGATGCGGACAAATGCCCATCACCAAATGTTCCCAGGATATCCCTCATCCTATACCGTGACGTTGGCTTACGCAACCACGAGACTCTCGCGTCCTCGCGCATCCGTGACCATCGCGGGATCTTTCAAGTAAGACTTTAAAACCCCTCTTTTCCATCCAATCCATCCGACAGACTTGAATCTCTTCTACTTCCCCCACGATTAAACTCGTCTCGACTTAAAACGCTTCATCTTCCACACGGAGGAGAAACGAAAACAAGCATGCAAATCCCACCAGAAACCGAGGAAGAACCGAGATCCTTTGCAAAATGCCCAGTGGGGGCATTCATTATAAAGCTGGGAAAAGGTACGAAGAAGCCTCTCCGCTGTGGAAAGGAATAAAGAAGCCGCGAGGGTTTCGCGCCGTCGTCATGCCCGTGAGCCACCACCTAAAAACGCTTCGATTTTTCGGGGTCGTTGGTTTTTGCCCCTTTTGCGTTCCTCTCCAACCGAAAACAACTCGGCCCTCCATTACTCTCGCCCATGATGCCTCCAATTTCTTCTCTGGTTATATTTCTACATTATTTGTATACTTTTGTATGATTTTCATCTCGACCATATCGGTACTTCGTTGAAATTACAAATGGAATCTCGTGTGGTTCTAGAACCGTAGAAACCACCCTGTTTACGTTTCCTTTGTTCCCAGTTCTTAGCGACCGTGTCACCCTCACTAAAATTCTCTCGTTGCCAAAGAATTTGCGCGGTCCCCCGAGGAAAGGAGCTGCAATCAAGCCACAAATTCCACGTATCCTTGACTAAAAACTTCTCGTCCAAACTAGCAATCGTATGTATGTTGAAGCCAACCAAAAGAGAAGAATACAAAGCTTTAAAAGTTGACCCGCATTGTTCCCGTCAACACAAGAACTGGAACGACAAATTTCAAATATTAATTTATAATTTAAAACAACGAAAACGTTTACTACAAAAATACCAAACAACGAAAATAGAAAAAAAAAAGAAAAGAAAAGAAAATAGAGAGTAAAGAATGCTGGCTGGCTTCGTCGCCCAGTGCCGGTGTCCTCCTTTTAAGAATCTCTCCACATAATATATAAACGAGAAGAGGCCCCTCTGTCGCAAAGCCCGGCTTCCTCGCCCGAGAGCTCCAGTTTCTTCGCAGAGAAATGGAGAAATAGGGAGAGAGAGAGTGCGAGAGAGAAAGAGAGACGATTCTTCCTTCATTGCCGTGATGCGACCAAAACTTCCTCTCGAGATCGCAAAGAATTCCACCGCTTCGCCGTGAGAGAGAGATCCTTCCGTGCCGCCTCTATGGATCCACCGGAATGTCATTGAAACATACACATATGATTTTGGAAGTTTGGTTGGAAGAGAAGATCCACTGTTGGTCACTGTCCGTGCGTTGGGTCGCCTCGTTCTTTGCCACGCTATAATTCTTGTGGCTATGTCATCCTCCTTCTCCCACAGTCGCGCCCTCGTTTTTTTGTGCGTCTCCCATCGTACAGGTAGCTAGTACTAGTTCTCGTGTTGACCTCCATCGCCAAACCTTCTCCATCCTTTTTCTTCTTCTTCTAGTTCGTCCTCTTGTTGCTTAGTTTCTCTAGCAGGCCGAGCAGCGTGCAAGGGATAGGAAAAGAAAAGAGATTGTTTTGACAAGTTTATGATAAGGTGGTCGCTGTGCTGCTGCTGTAGCGGTCGACCACCGCGCTCAAAATCGCGTTTTGATCGAGGGAATTGCGTGAGGGAGATCGGGAAATGCAGCTGGAAGTGGAGATGGATCAAGGGGCTTCCTCCCCCCCGCACCACAACTCGAGGAAGAGGCTGTCGTCCGTGGAGGACGACGATCTTGACGCGCCAGGATCTTCGGATAGCAACAACACCGTGAGTGGCGATGGCAGCAGCGATGGCGCGACCGTGCTCGGCGGCCCCTTTGGATCGTCGTCGGCGAGGAGCAGCGTGAGGCAGTACATTCGATCCAAGATGCCCCGCTTGCGATGGACTCCGGATCTGCACGAGTGCTTCGTCCGCGCGGTGGACCGGCTGGGCGGCCAAGACAGTAAGTGGAATTCTACTGCAAAGGCATAGATTTTCTCTTTTAAGTTCTTCTTCTTTGAGTTCCATCAATCAATAGTGGCAGTAGCAATTCATTGATTGATTGGTAGATTGATTGTCAGTACCTCTTCTTTCTTTCTTTCTTTTATGGTTCTTAAGTTCTTGCACCTATGTAGGAGCTACTCCAAAGCTCGTCCTGCAACTCATGGGCGTCAAAGGTCTCACAATTGCGCACGTCAAGAGCCATCTCCAGGTCTGCAATTTCTCTCGCGAAACCAGCAAGAAATCCTCTAAATTCTCCTGTGGAAACTTGCAGATGTACCGCAGCATGAAGAACGACGAGAACGGACCCGGTAAGAAATCTCTTTCTTCTTCTTCCTCCTTGTACTGACGCTACTAAAGCTTTTGCGTGATGCAGTGGTCATGGAGGAGAGGAAAGGCGAGCAAGCACAAGCAGCCGTAGCCAGCGACGCCAGCCTCCTTCACCATCCTTGGACGCCGCAGCTCCAGCAAATCCGTGGCGAGAAGAAATGCCGGGACAATCCTAATGCCCAGCAGCAGTACTACGCTCACAATTACTTCCATCGACCAGTTCTTCAGCCACTGGATTGTCATGCCAGGTAATTCAACGTAAGCTTGAGTGGAACCACCATCTAGGATAGCGACGGCCTCCTAAAAGAGAGAACTTCTTCTTCTTCTACTTCGCCTTCAAAAGAGCAGTGGTTGTTTCTGATACGGTGAAGATTCCTCGTTGCAGGACGGAGGATGCATGGAGCCAAATCGCCAGTCCAAATCAATCACAGGAGTGGCTCTCGAGACTGTCAATCGCGGCCACTAAGTGCTACAGCGAGCGGTTTAACGATCTCCAGATTGGCTGGAGGAAAAACCATCACACTCTCTTCCAGCAAACTGGAGGAGATGATAACACTCTGCGCTCGCGATCGCTAGAGAGAGAGGAATCCCGGATACATTCCAGCATTCTCGTCTCCCAGAACAGGATAAACAGCTGCCCCGCGCTGATCCACTTTGACGAGATCCTGGAAGGCAGCAGGAGCGCCATGAAGCATCACGAAAACTTCAACTTCCATCCCCAGGTAAGAAGCTCCACCTTTCTTTTCTTTTTTTAAAGCTTGAAGACTCACTACTAACGATGGAATTGGATCGTGCTTGGCCAGCATAATCTCGAGGAGAAAAGCCCGGGGTTTTTTAAGACGATGGGTCAAGTTGATAGTACCTTGTCTTTGTCCTCACCGACAAAGCACCCCAGCGGCAAAGCTCCCATGGTCACTGCCTCGGATCTAAAGAGACTTAAGCTGGCGCTGCTTGACCCAATCCAAGCTCCAAACGGTGTCAAGTTGGAGCTCACCATGGCCACTGGGGACGCCTAAAACTCGCCGAAATAACACACATTACTATACCTCTATGTTACAACTCTTAGAAACTCTGCTAGATAACGGACCTTTGTACAAAAACGACTTTGGAGCCCAGAGAGCTGACCTTCTACTAAACTGTTCTTTCCTCTCTCCTGTTTTTTTCCTCCCAAAGATGACATTTTTACTCGGGCAAGAATTTAGAAGTACGTAGATTTTACTCTTGACAATGTATAGAATAAACCTTTGTACGAAAAGTCGTTCCCATGAGAATTTCTCGAAAAAGAATCTTATGCTGAGGATCTAGAAGAATGTAAATAGCGATTTTTCTATAGCCACGAACTTTATGACATGATCCATAAACAAAATCACAGTCCTCAAGAAACGTGAGAGCATTGCAAGAGTTTCAACAATAACGCAGCGAGGAAAATGGTTTTTTAGTCCCTACAGAGCATCTACACTTATGTGTTTGCTTGCGGAGAGTCTCTGGATCTTGAGTCTAGCATCAGGAAAAAAACATATAAGAAACACTAGTCCAACCAAAACATACCTCTCAGACGCCATAAACTTGATCAGCTTTTCTTCCTCGTCTCGCGAGTACCTCGACCAGAATTCCTGTGCGCTGCGATTCTCCCCTCGTGAGACATCTAGAAAGAAAAAAGAGAAAAGATTGCAGCCAAAATCAATACCTCCAATCCCGAATAAATTATGCTTCGATTGCCTACCTTGGATCACCACTATGCTTCTCTGCTCAGCACCTCTCAACTTCCAAAAAATACGCGACCCGACAGTAGCTACAGGCTCTGTTCTTTGAGCGTTACACTGCTGCATCTCTGCGAGCAAAAGAAAAGTCATACGGCTCCAAAGGAAAAGAAACAAAAAAAAAAAAAAGAAAGAAGACGAAAACACGATCTTACTCGATTTGCAGACCACTTCCGCTAGCGCCATCTGTGCAGCGATGGATCGTTGCTCCTGCATACGTACTTTTGCAAGCAGACAGTTGCATTGGTCTGCAGTGAGCGAACTCCCATTTGTTTCCAAGACCAGCAATCTTTTTGCCTCGGCAGCTTTTGCCTTTTGCAAAGCGGCTCTCACCTGGAGAAGAAACTTTAAATTTTGATATCAATCTACACATCAAAAGGACTACCTGTTTTCGAGCAGCTGAAATTTCATCGTTTGCTTGCTGCTGCTGGACCTTGACGTTGGCAGCATTCTCCATAAACTCCCTGAATCTCCTGCAGACGTAGAGAATCAGTACATAGTTTCGAGGGAGTCTAATCTTACGCGGTGGAGAGACAATCGTCACAGAGACTGTTTAGTAAGTGCAGCTTTGTGTGTAGCTCCAGCTTCTCGTAGGCATCAACACCGTTTTCCAAGGCATTTACAACTGCGTCTACGCCTGAAGATGTTCGTGACACATAGTCTTTAAGCGACTCCAGCCATGAAGCTCTTGTCGGAGCGGAGAAACTCCTGGAAAACCACGTCGTTAAAAAAGTACTAAACTACTCTCGCACGAAAACGATAAATTACCCTTCGCTGACATCCTCCGACGCGAAAGATAACAGTTTCACATGCAGATGAACAAGCGGACCCCTTTGAGACATCAATCCTTGATTCATTTCTTGCAACGCATCTTCCCCTTGGCCGTCTCGCAAACAAAGAAGCTGAAAGTATGGTTGGCAAGCGGTAAAAACTGAAAAGAAATCACAAACCTTTTGGAAAGCCGAGCAGAACTCTAGCAGCTGAAGTGCTGGCCCAATCAACTCTTGCGGCAGCTCAATTCCAGCTACGGTTTTGAGTGCTTCACCGTCGGGAAGAGCTATTTCCTGGGCTTTTGTGCTTTCCGCGGCCAGGTCGATGTTGAGCTCGACTAATAGATCTCGAGTTTCGTGTTTCTCTTCCGCATCTGCGTTTTTCTTTGACAGCTTCTTTGCGAGTGTCGGTACAGTTCTCTCTGGTTGTACCTCCGACAAACTGTCCAATCGCGGGACCGTGATGGAATTGTTTTCTCGCAACGCCGCGTCTCCCTCGAGTTTACTCAGTCTAGTTTCGGCCAGGACCCGCTTCCGGCTGGCTTTCTTTGCCTTCTTCTCGTCATTGTCTGCTATACTTCTCTTCTCTAACAAGTCAGCCTGGGCCATGTCAGTGTTCGCTTGAACATTAGTTATACTCGCTTCCGCTAGTACTCGTTTTCTTTTACGTTGCTTAGCTTCCACTGGCTTTTTCTCCTCTAACTCCAACTTCTTAAGTTCGATGCTTTTACCCTGCCGCAAAGAAGCTTCAGTGAAACATATTAGCAAACCATCACAGTAAAGCACCTGATCTGCCGGATCTGATGTCAAGAACTCAGCGACGGACGCACATCCTATCGACTTGGCGAGATGTGACACCATCCCGGTTGGGCTGCAACCTTTCTTCTTCCTACAAAAACAAAAGCAAAAAAAATGCAGTAACACTAACTCTCCCATAACTCTCACGTTTATAACTCGAACTCACTCTTACATGCAATAGCTACAGTTGCATATCCCACGACACCTTGGACACGTCCAAGCATTCAAACCATTCACAATTGCTACATCTTCACCATATCTAAGAAAAAAAAGTTTGAAAAGAAAGAGAAGAAACTAGAAAAGAAAATCAAGGAAAAATATACCTGTTTTGCAAACACTTCGAGCAGAAGTTCAAGCTACAAGATCGATCTTCACTCTTGCAGCTCGCCATGAGTCCAAGAGTTTTCTGTCGACACTGAGACAGAGAGAAGTGATGGTTAAAATAGAAAGAATATTTCAATAGAAAGCTCAGAGCAAACCTGGTGGCACGAAGTTCCACTGTCGGAGTCATAGATCCGGCTACCAACAACGCCAGCACTGCCGCTCTTTTTCTTGTCTTTGTGGGCCTCTAGCGCTGGAGAGTTTTCGCTGGCTTGCATCGCAGCAATGGGGCTTGGCCGATGGTTTTCCTTGACAGCCATGGCGTCGTCTTGCTCCTGATCACTGTCTTCGATCACAATAACCTCGGGCCCTTTCGATTCCAAAGGTTTTTGGGCTGCCTTCAGCCGCTGCCGAGTCCTGGGCTTCATCTTTTCTCGCTCCTGAGAAGAAAGAATGCTAGATCTCCCGAAAAGAATGCGCGCGGGAACGAGGAAAAAAACTTACCCGGCAGAGATAGTGAGAAATCCCGCTCGCGCCCAAATGTTTCTCTTAAACCCTACCAAAGTGATTAAACGCAGTAAATGTAAAGCAACTCTAGAGCAATTAGTAGAACGCTTAGACACCAAACGAGAAAAGACGAACAAAGAACGGAAAACCTGATTTGTAGATGCCAAAATAATTGCTTTGAGAATTCTATGCGAGGGAGCAAGCAACTCTTCTTTGGTAATGAAGAGAATGGAGCTAAAAAACTGGGCAGCGATTAGTACAAGCGAAAGACTAGATAGCTTCTACTCCTTGGCACTAAGTAAATTCGTTACCTCTACAAGCTTCAACCAAAACTTGTTCCTGTTCACAATCTACAAACAGAACAAAAGGAACGGTGTCACTGAGTGCTGAAAAGCTTGGAAGTTCTTACCTCCGAGTATGGGATCAGTGTTTCCGAGCACAGGCTTTGAATGGAAGGAGGGATCAGTGCCGAGAGTGGAGTCTTGCTCAGACCAGCAGTGACTATGTTACCGAGAAGATAAGCCGGGCGGAGCCATTTCGACTCCGGGAATGCGTTCTGGGACAAGTACGCTGCAGCGTGGTCTTCTTTAACTTGCTGTGTCGAGTATCTTTTCATTGCTGAAACCACATCTCCCTCCTCGACTAGCATTCGAGTGAAAGTGTCCACGTCCTAGCAACTCCATAGCTATGGTCAAGCCTAAAGCTGTTATAGTCTTACCTTGAGAGAAGAATTACAGCCTTGGCCTAGAGCGTTGGACATGGCATGGGCCGCATCGCCAATCAACACTGCTCTACCTTTTTCTGCGTAGAACCTGCTGCAAGAGACCTGATGAAAAAGAAAATAACATTGGATGGACGAGAAGAGAACTATGCGCTTGCCTGCATTGAAGATGATGGCCTTTGCGAGATGAATGCTTCCGCAGCCTCGAGAGGCACTGAAAGTGGCGGCATGTACTTTTCAACGTAAGATTGCAGCTGCCATTGTCACATATTGATCTGTCAAACACTTGAATCCCTCTTGAACAATGTCGCCTCCATTACCTCTTGAGCGTTTTGGATTTGCAATAAATCCTTCGGCTCAGTTTCAGGAGACCATCCCAGAAGAACGGACATGCCATCGCCGGGCGTCGGGAAGCAACCAAAGTTTATGCTCGTACTACCTGTTACATAAGCAAACTCGAAAAAAAAACGGATTGGACAGTTACAATCACCTGAATCCTTCTTTGTGACCACTCTGAACGAATGAACCGCATCATCCGAGAGCTCTGCCGGCCTCGGGACGTGCAAGACCTTGAAAGTATAAGGCGTGTTTACTTGCTGGAAATCAAAGCCTCTCTCTCGGATGAAAGCTTCTCGAACGACCGATCGAGCACCATCAGCACCAACCAAGAGATCGTAGGGAACTTGCATGGTCTCGTCACCTTTAAGTCGGAATTCTACAGCTCGAGAGTTAAAATCGACCCCAACACAGCGAGCACCATAGATCACCTGGAAAAAATATATATTTGCGTCCAGGTAAGACAAAGTAAGCATCTAAAAGAAGCAAAGAGAGGAGAAAAATCGAAGTTACCTGGACTTGCTTTTGAGAGTAACGTTTCTGGAGTTCTTTGACAAGCACCGCTGCCAGAGATCTTTGATTTACAAGAAGCGAAGGTTTGTCCGGGTTTCTCTTGAGAGCAATCGCTCGGCCGCCAATGTGCAACACAAACTGCGAAGAGGGGACCCCTTGCTTCTCCACCTCGGTCCACAATCCATCCACTCTAGAGATCGCATCGCGGCCGCGGGCGCTCAATCCAACGCAATACTGCCGCGTCTTGTACCTGGCGGCATCATCAATCGAGACGATAGAGCCCGCATTCTCTCAAAATATTTCCTACAAACTCACAGCGGCAATGGGATTCTCGGATCGTCGCGCGCCTCGAAAATCCTGACCGGAAGCAATCCACGCAGGGAATCCTTCTCCGCGGCGCAATCGAGAAGAAGATGTGCGAGGAGGAGGCCCGACGGGCCAGCTCCCACGATGACAGCCATAGCCGCTAAGCCCTAAAAGAAGCAAATATAAACCCCGCGCATAACAAAAATCAAATATCTCGCCGTCTGTGGGAATTGAACCCACGACCACGTGGTTAAAAGCCACGCGCTCTACCGGCTGAGCTAAGACGGCTTTACATCATAATAAGTGATAATTATCCTCTAATAATAACGTATTACTCATTAAGTAAGCTTAGAGTTTTAGGGTTTATGACAAGGAGGAAGAAGAATGCTGGGTGTGGCGAGGGGTAAATCACGGTATCGTCTCTACAGCAGCGTTGCGGCATCCAAGCCCATTGTGGCGGCGGCTGTTCTGGAGCGCCTGCCATTGTATCCGCGCCCGCCCCATCCCACAGTCGCCTCGTTCAGGGAGCTCTCGTAAGTTCCGCTCTAGATCCAGCAAAGAATTCATTGGTTTTCACCTTGCATTGCAGCAAGAAATGGAAGCAAATCATCGGAGAGGTGGACATTCTAGAACAGACACTGGACGATATGAAGTAAGTCCATTCAAAAGAGTCGTTTTTCTCACGATTTTGTTTTCTTTCTCTCTTCTTCGTTTTTTTCTCTAGAGGGCGTGCTGCTCCTGCTGCCTCTGATCAAGAAAAAGTAGCACCAGTCCAGTCCACCGATCGAAAGTAAATTTGCGAGTTCTTCCTCTTGCTTCCAGGGATTGAAAACTCTAATGTGGTGATTGAAGATCTTTGCAGAGACTATTGGATCAAAGGCTGTACTTGATCGTCCGTGGAAACTCGCCGTACAAGGGCCAGAAAGAATGGCATTTCCCAGAGAAGAAGTACGTGGACGAGATGAACTTAAGAAAGGTGCTACTCTTTCTCTTTCGTGGCGAGCAACATTCGCAACGCTGCGTGTAATGTTCTAGTGCGCAGAGTCGGCTCTCGAGACGTTTCTAGGCGACCTCTCCGACGTCTACTTCGCAGGAAAAGCCCCGAGCGGACATCTCGACTGCCCCGAGTTTCAGGTGATGGACAAACGGAGCTTTCATCACACAACTGTGAAGCAGCGATCTCTACGACTGACTTGTTGTGTGCGTAATTCCAGCGCTTCTACTACAGATCCCACTTCGTTGCGAGCAAAGAAGTGGCAGCGTCCAAGGACTACGCGTGGGTATCCAGGGATGAACTCGGCGAGTATTTCGACGAGACACAACTGGAGCTTCTCAAACGGATGCTTCCCAACTTCTAGCGGGTCGAATTTGGCGGAAAAGAGTGGCGTGAAGTTACTTCCAGTTCTTCGACTCCCTTCGATTCAAATTGTAATCAAAGACCATTTGAAGAACCCATGATATGGGAGAAATTTGCTTAGAACGTAGAGATCCTCATAAATCCTAATCTTACATATTAACACGTTATTATTAGAATGTAATAATCATTGATTATTAAGCCGTCTTAGCTCAGCCGGTAGAGCGCGTGGCTTTTAACCACGTGGTCGTGGGTTCGATCCCCACAGACGGCGACATTTTACATCGATTTCATTCCAAGTATACCGCTTTATACATTGACGAACCATAGCTGGAAGTCGTCATACTCTTCCTTTTTCACCCTCTTAGCTCTTAAAGAGGTGCTTGACGATAAATCCTTATACGTCTTGTAGTCAGGAAAATCAGACTTGATCGCTGCCAAGAAGTCGCATAGCTCAGAGGAAAAAATCTCTTTGACCTCATCTTTCCCCAAGTAACCCACCAGCCTCCTCGTGAGCCACCTTGGAGCCTTTGGATCAGAAGCTGGATAAGCGACCACCAAAGATATGCAGCCGTGAAAACAAGCCTCTTTGAGTGCTGGAATAGCTGCCGTCGACACTTGTTTGGACGTCCGCCTGTACATCTTCGACGGGTTTGTTGTCCCCTCCGCCTGATCCCACTGCACCTGCCGTCTTAGCTTGAGCTGGAGGAATACGGGGACGAGCAAGTCGCCCAGCATGACGAAGAACATGATGTCCGGGCCAGACAATGAGGAAAACATAAAGAACATCGGACGCTGGCCTGGAGGCAACTTCAAGTATGCAGAAAGAGGCGCAGCTGGAGTCTCCCTCCACACCTGCTTGCGAAGCCCAGCTAACTTAGGCACGCATACACCCCAGTTCCGCAGATCTAACCCCTTAAAGCATGGCCAACTGTTGAGCGGCTTCTGGCCATCCAAGAAGCGGGGGATATGAATCACCACGAGCTTCTCCCACAGGTTTCCACTTGCTGCAGGATCGTCGGCCAGGCTTTGCATCAGAACTTGGAGATGCCGCTCGAGATGATCATTGTCGACGCAGTAGTTTGTCATAGCCTCCAGTACCATGGGCTCGCTGATCTCGTATGAAGACCTGGTCTCCCAACTACGAACCCTCTCACACGAGCCCAGGCCACTCACGAGTAAATGGGCTTCAGCCGAGTCGAGAACAAGTCCTGCCCTGTTTGAGAAGCAGTAATGACTAACTGCTCTCATAACTAGCTCTCTCGCCGACAAGTCCCGTCCCCGGAACCTGAATGTGCCCTTGCCTGTTTGGAAGAAACTGGCCACCATGGAATACAGGGACATAGAGAAGTCGCTTGAATCACCAGTGGTCAGGTCCGCATAAAAAGCATCGACAGTCTCCCTCTTCCAGCAGCAGCCATTGCGGAGCAACTCCTCCAAACACGTAACCAAGCACCGCTTCCGACCTTTGAACTTGCTAGAGAGAAGAGCACAATTACGTACAGTGAGCCCCAGCACTGGCAGGTACTTGATACAGAAGTCGTATACTTCACCAGGCTTCTCCCATTTGTCAAACTTGATCACGTAGAGTGGTAACCTGGCACCCCTCATCTTTCCCACTAGCGAAAGGATATCGTTTTCCAGTTCTAAGAAGTTGATCCCAGTTCCCGATGCGAAAACCGGTGCAGCCAACTGTACGTCCATTAGCGCCTTCATCACGGGAGAGAACCTGGCCCTCAGCTGGTGACTCTGAGGGGATTGGAAACACCGCATGCCGTTGAGCGTCTGCACCTCATCCATGACAAAGATGGGCTTGCAGGACAGCATTGAGCAAACTGCATCCCATAGACGGATCAAGTCACCCTGCTGGAACTCGTAACTGCTAACCAGCATCATGGCGAGCCTTTCGTAAGGGTCCTCCGTCCCACAAAAATGGTTGAACTCCGTCTGGAGGATAAGCCACTGCTCTGGTGTCAAGTCTGGTTTGATGCTGAGGACTTGTTGAAGAACCAACAAACGAGCCAGTATCAACTTCTTCATCTCTATGACAGCAGCAAAATGTTTGCGGCATTCGGGATCAGAACCAGGCTCCGTGTTCCCGACTAGTGCCATATCCTGAGACCCCCCATTCCGTTTCGATGAAGCTGTCCAAAAAAAACCCCAGTTGGCTGCCAGAATCTCGAACACAGTGCGAGTTTTCCCGCATCCGCTAACCCCCATGAGCGGAATACAGCCCGACTTCTTCGACCGTAGTGTATAATCCAGCAGCTTCCACGCATCCGAATCCCTAGTCCATCTATCCTGCAACTTGTGAAACAAAATCGACGGGCGACCATCGAAGCCCACCGGAACTCCCCACTGTGGCTGCAACCCAAGGCCCCCTTGCTGCAAGAACTTCGTGATAAAATCTCCATACGCAAGCTTCCACTCGCCAAAAATCGCATCCAAGGAGCGACTGCTTGGCACCGAAGGTGGCGGAGCGATCTCAACCTTGACATAAATTACCGGCCCCTCGGGCAGCTCTCCTGCAAAGTATGCCCAGCCCTGTGTTGTGAACTTTCCGAAAGTGAATGTCCTCAAGTAGCTGCAAGTAGAAGAACCACTGGGAAACCCTGGCAGAGTCGACACAAACCCCTGCAGCGAGCCGAAGTCGTCGACATCAGGCGGAAGTACCGACATTTGCCCCCGAGTACGAAGATCAGCTTCATCCGTGCTGAGACTTGAGCCAGCGGGCACAATCGACACGCACACGCCCCGGCTCATACGCACAAACCCTAACCCTAAAAGAGCCGATTTGCCCTAGTTTTTCGTTTTGCCTTTTTTGCTATTATATCTGCTTGGAGGATTGTGCCCTATTCCTTTGCGATGGAACGCCAAGAAGTAAGTCTTTTGACTCACTACATGGAAATACTAACTTGGGCTTCCAGGTGATAGATGCGCTGAGGAGAACCCGTGATGACTTTGACCTAGATGATGGTGTAGAGGATGTTCTTGATGTTCATCCATGTCAGGTGCGTATTATTTAGGATTCAAATTCCCTTATTCTTGTATCTGACTAAAAAGTGCAGATGAGTGGAGTATTGGGTCGCTATGTCTACCCCATTACATACAAAAGGCAAGAATATATTTTTTTTTTGTTTTTTTCTTTATGTAACAGTTTCAATGTAGTGTTTGTCCGAGATATTTGGATGGCTACTTGGTAAAGTTGGAGCGCTCTGAGTATGTCCCTCCCACTGAAAAGGGTTTATTTATGGTCAGGCATATATGGGAAGGGCAGGAACAAGTAATCCAGGTTGTAATTTTTAAAATTTTTTTTTAGTTGTTATGTGATTGATTTCGTTTGTGGGTTACAGAAGTATGTGGTCCGGAGCGCAGATGAAATTGTAGAGAGGAGGACAATATTCACCAATCTAGAGCCGGAGGTATTGTCCATGATCAATTGGGAGAAGTTTGAAAATGCCATCAAGAGTTCCAAGATCTCAGACAAGGAAAAAGCTATCAAAGAGAAACAGGTCTTACAGCTTTTAGAACAGAGACCGGAAGCGTTTGATGAAATTGTTGAGTTTGATTAAATTGCTTGTACTGGCACATAGCATTGATTTTAAATGTAGAGTTAATTTTTTAAAATGTTCTTTGAGAGAGGCCAAAATTGCTTGTGGGAGCATTGGTTTTACTGCAGAAACAATTCTTTTCTCAAGAGGTACTTTTAGTGGAATCAAGCAAAGATGACCTTCCTAGTGTTCTTGAAGATGTTTTCAACAAGTCCTGTATATAGAAAATAAGAGCTTTAACGCGTTTGGAAACCAAAACACCGAAGTTCCTTCCTGAAGGAAAGGTGATCATTGCAAAGATTTTCGTGGCTGAAGCGGATATCATCAGCGGGCTGGCTCTGGGAGAGAGTGGCTAGTATTTGGATGACTATTTGCTCGTCAAGGCGGCGTTGCAGTCGCGTATCGCCTGGCTTGGTTTTGAAATCCTTCGATTAAGTATGAGGACTCTGATATAGCTACTTGTTTCCTTTTCGAGGATGAAGGCTTACAGCAGCAGCAGCAATGGGCACCACAAGAAGGCTTATGGTGGCAGCAGCAACGGGCAGCACAATGCATTCACAAAGGAAAAGCCGAAGGAGGTAGACATTTATGCAATCGAGAGCTCTGGCGAACGCATACGAGCAAGGTAACCGAGATTTTGCTTTTGTTTGTAGCAGGTACGAGATCATAGGAACTCATCGTCCCGGTGAGAAGGAGGGATTACTCGTCGACCAATGCAGAAAATGTAAGCAGAGAGGCCATTGGGAAAGAAACTGCAAGGGGGTAAGAAAGCTCACTTATTCTGAATTTTCCAGATTTGACTTCGTGTTTTTTGTTTTAGCCTGAAGTGGATCCTTTTGCTTGTGAACAAAAGAAATGCTACCTCTGCCTAGCGAAGGGACACGATACTTATCACTGTTCAAGAGATCCCCTGCGAAATGAGGACTGGGCAGAGAGGAAGAAAGAAAAGCGGAGCAAGAACAACGGATTTCACTTTAACACACGTTGATTCATATATGGCTGTATATATATACAACTTCAATCAAATCGGAAATCACCAGAGATCTGATCACGATTCGGACTGCTTGTCGTGTTCATCATTATTCCTACACTCCCCCTTCAAGCTGAGGGTGTGCTTGACACTCCAAGTTGATTCCTCAGCTTGATGAATGTGAGCTCCGAAAGTGGCTTGGTTAGAAGGTCCGCCAACTGATACTGTGAAGGAACGTATTCCAGGTGAAGATCTTCGGCTGCTACATGTTCGCGAATGAAGTGATGCTGCACGTCTATATGTTTCGTACGAGCATGAAACACAGGATTCTTTGACATGGCGATTGCACTTTTGCTGTCGCAATGCAGAATGGTCGCATCTGATTGCTGTTGATTGAGTTCTCCAAGTAATCGACGAAGCCAGATGATCTCCCTTGCTGCTGTACTGGCAGCTACATATTCTGCTTCTGCACTGGAAAGAGCAACTGTCGTTTGCTTCTTGCTTCCCCATGAAACCGGAGCACCGGCAATTATGTAGCAAATTCCAGAGGTTGAATGTCGTGTATCCAAGTTGCCAGCCCAATCTGCATCGCAGTATGCTTGAAGAACAAGTTTGGATTGATCTGAGCATTTGTAAACCAATCCATGAGCAGCCGTTCCTTTCAAATACCTCAAAACTCTCTTCGCCATCTGCCAATGATAACAACTCGGAGACTGCATGCATCGGCTGAGGAGACCAACGGCAAAGGAGATGTCGGGGCGAGTCATGTTGGCGAGGTAGAGTAGTCCTCCAACAAGCGATCGGTAGACCGAGGGCTGATCAAATAAATCATCCATCTTGCTTGTGAACTTGATGCCAGTGACGACTGGTGTAGCCACAGATTTGCAACTTGTCATGTTGAACTGGTTGAGAAGCTTCTTCACATATTGGCACTATGTGAGGGTGATTGTCCTGTCTGCTTCATCCTTGTCAACTTCCATCCCTAACAACTGCCGCACAGCTCCTAAGTCCTTCATCACAAACCTGTTCATAAGCTTGATCTTCACATCCTTCAAAACAGTGTGATTGTTGCTGACAATCAAACAGTCATCCACATAAACTGCTATCACAACAAAGTGATCACCTTGCTGAAGAAGATATAAATTTCCATCACTGTTCAACCTCTGCATACCGAGATCCATAAGAAAAGAATCCAAACATCAATGTCAAGTTCTTGCAAATGGCCGTCCATTACTGCATTTTCCCAGATGTGGTAACCTGTTTGAGAAGGAGATAGCTTCTGGAGAAAAATCGAATGCTCCTGAGATATGCATGACTGCAGATAGTTCTCTCTGGCATTCTCGACTTGCACATGCCAATCCCCCTCTCATCAGGCGTATGCAGAAGCAGGAGCTTGTGGATGGCTTCAACGACCACATTCTTCAAAGTTCAGCAAAATGTCACACTTGCATTCTTGGCAAGCAAACCCGTCGTACTTTCAAACCTGCTGTGACCAGAAGCACTCGTCCCTTGCAGCTCATTCACTCAGATGTTTGTGGACCCATGCGACTGTTTGCTCAGAATGGCACGAAGTATTTTGTGACATTTACAGATGATTTCTCCAGGCACACGGACGTCTTCTTTCTTCGTCACAAAGATGAAGTCTTTAGCAAATTCAAGCAATTCGTAGTAGAAGCCGAAGTGAAAACTGGTCAGAGGGTTGGTTGTTTACGTACTGATTCAGGAGGGGAATACGTCAACAAGTCCTTTCAGCAGTTCTGTGCTGAACGAGGAATTCTTCATTAGCGCTCTTGCTCTCATACCCCTCAACAGAATGGAGTCTCTGAGCGCAAGAATAGGACAATCATGAACACAGTTCGGTGCTTCCTTCAAGAATCAGGACTACCAAAATTCCTCTGGGCTGAAGCAGTTGGATCAGCTGTGCATGTTCAAAACCTTCTCCCTCATTCTCGCAATCCCAACAAGATCCCAGAAGAGCTTTGGACTGGTCAAAGACAATCGGTGGTGCATCTCAGGCGTTTTGGTTGTTTAAGCTTTGCAAAAAGGGTGGATGAGCATCTTGGCAAGTTGGAGAGCAGAAGCAAGCTGGCCTTTCTTGTTGGATACGATTCCAATTCAAAAGGATATCGCCTGTACCAACCTGGTAATCATCAAATTTTTGTAAGCATTGATGTTCATTTTGATGAAGGAACACTCTACAAAGATCATGTTCAAGAAGAAGGAAGCTCAGATCAGAACATGAATTGGACTCCAGAAGAATGGAGTTGGGATGGTGTTGAAGACGGTGATGAAGATGACGATGATCTAACAATCATCTATCCCTCATCTCCTTTAGCAGATGATCATCCAACACCAGTCTCTGGATCTTTTCTTCCTGAAGAACAGGGCGATGCTACTCATCGTGCACGAACTGGAGAAGTCAACAGGCTCACACGTGATCTACCATTCAATGTGGAGAACTATGGGTGGACATCATCTGGACGATCAAGCAGAGCACCTCATCCCAAGCAATGGTCTTTTGCAGCAACAGAAATAGCTTCTGAACCAGTCAACTTTGAGTAGGCAATTCAAGCTCCTGATGTAGATAAGTGGATTTCAGCAATGCAAGATGAGTTGAATTCTCTTGATGAGAACTAGACTTATGACTTGGTGGAAGCTCCTAAAGGACGTGAAGTTGTTGGATCACGCTGGGTGTTCAAGCTTCACAGAAATCCTGATGGATCGGTACAGCGTTACAAAGCAAGACTTGTTGCTCAAGGATATTCACAAGTTCCTGGAGTGGATTTTGATAAGACGTTCTCACCAATTGTGAAGCAGACAAGTATTAGAATGCTTCTGGCTTTTACAGCGGAGTTTGGTTTGTGCGCACATCACATGGACATAAAAATAGCCTTCTTTAATGGGAACTTGAAGGAGGAGATATTTATGCGGCAACCCCCAGGCTTTGAGCTTTTTGGATCACGGTGCTCTGAACTCACTATCTTTGGAACATACCATGCATTCTTCAAGAGCAGAGACTTTCTTCCTAGTGGAATTCGCACATCCCCAGTTGCGTGAACAGGTAAAATGCTTCCATCTCCCACACGAATGCACTTCCGCAACTGCACAAAGTTCGACCCGCTTTGCATCAGGTGTCTCTCTGAACCTGAATCGATGGTCAGTTTTTCAGAAACGTTTGGAACTGCTACCTCAGATGATGCCGCAAGTTCCTGTGTTTCCCCTTCCTGAGCATTTGCTGCAAGCCCTATGTTCATGCGCTGCAGCCAAGCTGCAACTGGGCAATCCTTGGAGTAGTGCCCTGGCATCCCACAGGTCCAGCATTCCTGTTTGTTCTTGCCCACAAAACAATCCCGAACTGCTGTTTCTTTACCAGAATTCCCTGAATTCTGCTGCTGCTGCGGATTTCCCCTAAACCCGCGACCTCTACCTCGTCCTCCTCTTCCGCGGCCTCCTCTGCCTCGATGATTTCCAGCCCACAGAGCTGAATCAGTCCCTGACTGATTGCTTGATGCAGAAGCATTTGATGTAGACTGTGAGATCAAAACATGGGAAGGCCTCTGATCAAAGTCCACAATCAAACCTCTCGCAGCCAGCTCCGAGTGTAAGGTTTGCTCAGCTTGTTCAAAGTTGAGCGACATCATGCAAACGGTAGGGACGAAAGAACTAAAAGAAGAATCTTGCATGGCCTCGCAAAGTGCCAGAACTTTCTTGCTTTCGTTGAACGCTGCTGGACTGCCTTCAAGCTCCATCCACAGATCTTGCATCTTGGCGAGGAACTCTTCAAAGTTCTCGCCTGGATGAAAACGGGTCTCACGAATGCAAGTCTCGACCATGCTAATCTTGGAGAGGGAAAGAACAGCATACTTGTTGTGGAGATGAGCCCAGATCTCACAAGCACACTTATGACGCAAACACATCATAAGGGCATCTGCAAGCTTAGAAAGAATCAATCCTTTTGCTCGAGATTCCTTCTTCTCCAGCGCAGCTTGTTCCCCTGGATCAAGCTGTTGTCGAGCTGCTGCAACAGAGGCACGAATTGCCTCTTCATCCACGACTTCTCCTTCCACTGAAGTTGAAGC